GCATCCCCCCAGCATCCCGCCTGCCCTGGCATCCCCCAGCATCCCACCACCCCATCCCAGGGGCTCCCCAAAACCACCCACCCAAAAGGACGGCTTTGGGAATGCCCAAATCTGCCCAAAATAACGGTGCTCCTTGGGCAGCCACAGTCCTGATTCTCCCCCCCCCTCCCTCCCCATACAAGAAAGCCTTTCAAATGCAGGAAAAATGTTTACCCCTTGGGGAAAGCTTCTTTCAGTCTGTGGCTGAATCCACTAAAAGCAAATCCATTTGCTTAAGTAATGAAATCCTAGTCACATTGTCTCCTGGATTCAGATTTTAAATTACCTTCGCATTTATTGAGCATGTTTGGTGCTTTTTTCTGGGAAAGAGGGTGGGGCCTCACTTTGCTTACTTGTCTCTTGCCCAGAGCGTTTTTATTTCTGCTACTGCTCTCAGATTTGTTTCAATTGCTCTGCTCGGATGGTCACACGCAGTTAAAATTTAGGAGATTAGAGGTGAAGCCATCCTTAGGGGAGGGTAACCATAGGGAGCGCAGACGGGGCCGGTGATGCTCGGGCGCGACCCTTCCCTGCTGGTCCTGCTCATACCTCCGCTTCCACCGCCCAGATGTTTGGTGCATTGAGTTCAACTCGAAAGCAGCAAACTGCTGCTGCTCCCGAGCGCCCAAGGGCTGGCTGCCTTCCCCTGCTCCTTCAGCAAACGGCACTGACATGACTGTTCTGCATCCCACGGGACCTGCAGCCTCCCAGCGCTCGGCAGAGCCGCCACGCTCCCAGCCAAGGACCTCCAGGACCTCCATGTGTTGGGAGCGCTCAACACTTCATCCAAACCCGGCGTCAGGTCAACGAGATCTCTGCCTGGTGTTGATGAGGAGGCTGAGGCACTGAGAGGGGACCAAGGTGACATCCAAGGAGGGAGGAGGTCGGAGATGACACCACGACAGCCAAGCCCAAGACCTCTTCCTACCGTGACACCACCAACCTCTGTTGGAGAAGGAAAGGAGTCTGCCCCAGCAAATGCAGATCCACTCTGGATCTGTGAAAATCACTGAAATTAAACGTGCTTTAAACGTTTAATTCCATTAAACGTGGCTTCTCCACTCAGGGACCTGAGGGAAGCCTTGTTCATGCGGATGGCAGACCATGGGTGGAGAAGGATTTCTTTCCTCCTCTTTTCTTCCAACAAGAGCTCCCTTAGAGCTGGAGGGACCAGGCAGGTGCCGGGTGGGACCTCCCTGAACCTGCTCACAACCCCCTGCCTCGGAGAAACCCGACAGAGCAGGATGAGCGGGACCAGCCAAGGACAGCTTGGTAGCGCAGAACAAACCGACTTAAAATAGATACCAATTATTAATATTGCTTAGAATCCGCTCTATAAACAAGCCAGGCACGCCAGCAGGAACCCATGTGTCTCTCTAAACACACCAAAACTGATTCAGGATACATTTAAGCTGCTAAGAAGCATCAGAGTGCCCCAGCCTAGCAAATTATTGGCAGATTTCATTTAAAACTTCCCAGGAAACATCAGAGTTTGAACCAAGATGTTCCACACAACCCATCCCTCCTTGGGGTATGCCTTCCACAGGACTGCAGCCTGGCCTGACCACCCCGAAGGGATCCCACTCCAAAATCACATCACTCCATGGTCTTTTCTCCAATTCCAGCAGATTTCATAGCTGCTGGTCACAAAGCCACCGAGTAAGTGTGTTTGGTCTAGAAGCAGCTCCGAGGAACGCAGGCAAAGCTGTACCAGCAAGTTGCAAAAGCCCAAACCACCTCCACAAACCATAGACCAGAACTGCTGGATTTTTGTTTCTTCCTCCCCATTTGGCCCCTGCCTTTTTATGACCAGAACACAGAAAAAAAAAACAAAAAAAATCCACAAAAAAAAACCCAATCCAAAACCAACAACAACCCAAACACCCCTAAAAAGTCTAAAAATAAAAAGGCAGCAGTCTGGAAAGCCAAGGAGAACCTGCTCACCACCAGACCTCCCAACCCCTAAAAAAATCCCAGCAACAAAATATTACTGTGACTGGATGGCAAACGCAGTAATATTTGATAATGTCCGACTTAAAAAAACTCCTCTATTAAACATATTTTTTTTTAAATAGAGCACCAAGCGACTTTTCAATTGTTTGAAATGCCTTCAGTCCATTTGACATGGGAAGAAATGCAGGCAAAATGCAGGAAAAAATGACCTTAGCAATTCCAGATATAAACTCTATTCTGCAATCTTCTCCCCCAAGCTAAACTGTGCCCCAGGGTGCAGGAGGAGCCCCCAGCAGCATCATCACCCCAAAAAATCCAGTCCCCTTTGGGTTGCCATGTCCTACAGGTGACAGATGATAAAAGGACACCTCCTACCAAATGGGAAAACTTGGACAAAATGGGATTAAAACCAGCCAACCACCCCCCACCACACTGATTATTTAAGGTATGTGACCACTCAAGCAAAACATCCTTTTTTTTTTTTTTTTTTCTGATGGCAGCCTCTTTTTCCAGCTCTTGGATATAGCAGGACAATTTGTACATGTCTGCATGATTTTTGTAAAGTCATAGCCTTTATCACAAGATGTTCATAAAAAATGCAGCTGTTATTTGATACAAGTTCCATGACAGTTTGAGAATCCCCAGTTTCTGCGTTTATGTGCTTTGGGGGGGGGAAAAAAAAAAAAAAAAAAAAAAAAAAAAGAAGAAATCGCGCTCCGTTTGGACAGAAGCCTGTAATTCAATTGCCTTTACTTTTCAATTACTGCATAGCCTACCCTGACCAACCTGCAGAGGGGAAGGAAACTTTGCTTACATCTCTGTCTTAAAATTAATGACTTTTACTTTTGGCTACAGCCTATTCTCCCTGCTTTAAAAAAAAAAAAAAAAAAAAAAGTAGGCACAATATCATTAACCCTTCAAGGGCAGCTAAGCCCTTGCAGCCATGGGGATCTCCGTGTTTTTGTAGAAATTTCAGCACTGGAAAAACAACACTGCCAAAAAGTTCTGGCGAAGGCAGGCATTTATACATTAAACTTTTAATACTCTATAAAGCAAAGCTACAATTGCATCCGAGCTTGATCCTTAATGGAAATATAAGCTTGCAGAAAAGGAAAGTTATAGACTGCAGAAATTTAACTCTCTTACTTCCAGGTTTACAGAAGCAAATACTAGATTGCGCAGGATGTTTTACAAAACTGAGGTTTCTGGGCATTGAACAAAACCTCTGAGAACCCCCAAATTTGTGACATGAGGTGATCACCTCAACGCCGATGCCCACTTTCCCCAGGCCAATGGGGGCAAAGCAGAGGACCCTGCATTTTCCATACGCTGCATCTCCCGCTCACACCTCAGCAAACAATTCCCTCTCTCACCCTTTCCTGGGGAGGGGGGGAAACTCCCCCCTGCAGACTCATCTCCCACCCGCAGCATCAAGGCAGGAGGGTTCAGGAAACTCAACGCCAACTTCTCATTTCTGACGTCTCTGCTCCTGCAACAAACCCCTTCACTGGTCCGACGAATTTTACTCAACGCTTCAGAACGCGATTATTTCTGTAACGCGCCCTAAAACACCCCCAGACAACACTGCAGCCCAGAATATTATATATATGATATTACGATATAGATTCTATATGGTTAATATCTATGTATATTTTAAAAATACATATTCTACATGGTCAAGTAAGTCTTCAGAGCCAACGCTAACACCTTACAAGTTTTGTGCTGCTGTGCCCCGGGAGAGCCCCACTGATGCACAGCTCTAGCTATACAGCACATACATTCCTTAAATTTGGGGGGTTTAGGGAGATCCAAGCCTCATGCAGCAGAGGAGGGTCAGAGGCTGGAGGCAAGAAAGTCTCCCCAACATTCACGACACAACTGCAGGCGTGCGCTGCAAACTCTGAGCTGGTCCCACGCCGACGAACACCAATCGACCCATCAAAAAAAAACCCCAACCTGTTACAGCTAATGCTTATGGATTATTAATCCAGTGGATCCCAAGCATATTCTAAATTCCAGTTTAGTTTGCTGGTAGTTTTCATGAGCAGACACAAAGACTATAATGATTTTTTTTTTTAAATACACAAGTATAAATTGTTATTAATGCTCATCAACTGACAAGGAAAGCCCCTGAGATAATATCACTTCTGCAGTCTCCCTCGCACACAAGGGTTTGTCTCAAACCAGTATGAGCCTGGTGGGTTTTTTTTTTTTTCTTAAGCATGTGGGATACTTGAATACAGATGAATTGAGTTTTAAAGGAAAAAAACCCAAGCAGCAACTTCTGGGCCAAGTTCTTGTGTGCCAAACTTTTCAACTGCCACAGCACAGCTCGACAGTGTTTCAAAAGAATTTAAGCACTGTTTTGAATACTGCTGACAATCTTCCTCATCAAAATTTGTAATTTAAATACCTCAAATCTGAAAAGCACGCTCCCTGGGGCATGCTTCATTCTCCCTCCCCGCCACCCACCCTCCTCAAACCCCGTTTGGCACAAACTCTTGGGTTTTTTTTCCTGTATCTGGCTGGTTGCTCCCCTACCTCCCGCAGCCCCGCATCCCCCCCGGCATCACCCCGCAGCATCCGCTGCATCCCGCAGGGACCCCAGCGCTCGAGCAGAAGTTTGTTCTTCAGATTACCCACGGATGA